GCTTCAAATCTAGATCCTGAGATCAGTTGGGAAATATCAGCCACCTGTAGGGAGAAAGAAGGAACATACCAACTAGTGTGAGGGAAGAATTCTCTGCCTTCTCAAAAATCACCTGACTGTTTGCAACCATCAGCCCGATGTCAATCTGTCAGAGAAAACACAGCTGTAATCGGCCTATACTCTATTCAGAACAGTGACATATTAGCTGTCTTCACTTAGCAACAAGCTAGAGATAATAATATCAAACTCAACATTAGTGTTGTCACGATACCAATATTTTGGTACCGGTATCGGTACCAAAATGTATTTCGATACTTTCGATACTTTTGGGTAGTTTTTCAGATAAAAAGAGAATGCAAACAATGTCATTACTGACTTTATTTTAATAGAAAATCTTAGAATAACATCAAAATAAAATTCAAAATACTATGCTTTTTTTATTGCACTCAAAAAAAATTTTTTTAGAACAGTCAGTGTGAGTAAATAAAAAGTATGAAGTTAGAAGTTCTAACTTAGAACAATTAGAACAAATAAAATTATTTGAAATTAAAATAAGCTAGCAACTGTAGCAGCAAAATCTCTTATTTTCCTATCAACATTATGTCCCTTCTCCTTACTCCCTCTCTTGCCTACTATTGGGTGGCTGATTCTTTTGGAGTAGACCTTCTACTGAGTCTGACTCAGGCTTTTTGTCTTGTTGAGATTCTTGGCCAAGAAAACCAAAATGTCTAGGTGTTCCTCACTCAATCTAGAACGCCTTGGACTACAGATATTTCCAGATGTGCTGAAGACACGTTCTGATGCACAGCTTGATGCTGAAATGCACATATATTGTCGTGCAAACTGAGCCAGGATGGGAAGATCAGACTCATGATGACCCCACCAGGCTAGGGGGTCCTGTGCAGCACTTATATCTCTTAACTGTTCATAGTCATCACACGGTTTAGTTTGTCTTTAGGTGTTGTCAATGTGGATGAATCGTGTCCTGTTGAACTGTCTGCTCCCCTCTTTTCCTGGGTGATGGTGCAGAGCAGGCTTAGATCACTTCTTTTTTTTTTTTTTTAAAATTTAGAAAAAAATAATATGTTTGATAAGAACTCTTTATGATGTGTTGCACACTTAAAACTATTGAACTATTGCATTTGAAAAGGGCACATGTCATGAGTAAATTACCTGTCGTTCCCTGAACTCAGTGTGCAGGTCTGGGTGTTTCCGCCCTTAGCCATGCATGTTTTAAAACATCGTTTACACAATGGCGCATCAACGTTAATTGCCTCTCCTTGCTCATTTGTTTTTATGCCGAAGTACTGCCATATAGCACTTCGCGCCCCTCGTTTGTCCACAAATTGCGGGGTGGTGACTGAGCCATTCTCCTCTCCGTGCTCCTCTCTCTCTCTCTCTCTCTCGCTCTCTCCCTCTCCAACGTCTCTGCTCTCTCCAAGCTTTCCTTCTGCTCCGTTTGTTGCTCCAGTCCACGCTGCTCAGTGAGCAGAGGACGAGGAAGCTGTTTCCTGCTCTGTTTTCCTCTGTTGCGGGTGGGCGCTGCCGGCGGCGCTGCAAGTACTGGTCCCATCCAAATGCAGTATAGTACCATTTTAAATGCCTCAGTACCGCGGTACCATACTAGTACCGGTATATCGTGCAACACTAAGCACATGCATTTTGTAGCTTTTAGCTCATGGTACAGTAACTAAGCCGGCCACAGCTTCAGCCAAAAGCCACAGAACAGAATTTCATAAATACTATTGTAGGGCTAGGCAGAGGTTTTGAAATCCAACACAAATGAATATTTTTAGGTATCCTCTTTAAATTTCACTAGAAAAAAACTGGATTGTAGGATGAAGCTAAAAAGGAACCCCCCTTACATTCTGACACTTTGTGTTTTTGTTGTTGGCAGGTAGATATGTGCGTGCCAATCTGAACATGCCTACCAGTTTGCCACTGTGGGGAGGACAAAGAGACTATGACATGGATGCCCCTATCACTGTGTTTGGATCCATACAGGCTCGACTAGTGGGTCTGTCACATATACTGTAGATCTCAGTGATGTGCTACGGCTGATGTTAGCAAACCAAACAGCAGTCTGGCATTTTGTTTTTCAAATGTATGTGTGCTAAATGTGTTTTTCCAGGTGAGGCTCTATTAGAGAGTAACACAGTGATTGACTCTGTGTACTGTTCTCCCTCTCTGCGATGTGTTCAGACTGCACAGAACATTCTGAAAGGTGAGAAGGACCTCCCTGAGCAAATGTGATGGGACATGGATTTACTCATACAGAAGCATTCCTTCAACTAAAAGTGTGTCTCAGTGACATTAAGTTGATTGTGTTCCATTTTAGTTTTGAAGTTGAGCTGCAATGAGTTGTGTTTGTGTGTGTGAGCAGGTCTACAGCAGGATGGTAAACTGAAGGTGAGAGTGGAACCAGGGCTTTTTGAATGGACCAAGTGGGTTTCTGGAAACTCTCTGCCTGCATGGATACCCCCCGCTGACCTGGCCACAGCCCACTTCAGTGTGGACACAACATACAGGTGATGCAGACAACCAGGGCAAAATACATATTGTGTAATTAAAAATATATGTGTTATGGTACGCTCATACACGGAAGTGAGCGAGCAAAAAAAAGAGAGGTGGACCCAGGTAGCCGACTTCAGTGCAAGCAGTGATTTAGTAATACACAGTGTAGTTTAGTGACAATAACAAGTACGTGGATGATAGTGGAACAGAGTAGCTGAGTGTCGACCAGCAGCAGGAGTAGAGGGATGATGAGTTGAATGAGGTGGGCCGAGCTGCGTCGCAGGGTCACTCCTGGGCTGGTTGGTGGGTGATGGTAGCTACTGGTAAAACACAAGCAGAGAGGAGTTGGTATGGCAGACAACTGGTGACAACTGGTAGAGACGAGCCAGGATCCGGAGGAAAAACAGTCCAAGAGGGGGAAAAAGAGGTACTGGCTAGAGGAGGTGAGAAGCACGGCAATCCTGGGCATAAATAACGGGAAACTGGAAGCACACAAAAATACAGAAACGAATATTAATCAACACCGGAGACAAAGAGATGGCCTGAGAATGTGAACGAACTGGCAAGTGAGTGAGAGGTGAGCTGGGTATAAGTAAGGATAGACTAATGAAGTGCAGTTGGTGACAATCAAGGGGTAAGGCGCAGGTGTACGTGATCAGCAATCTGAGGCTAAAAGAGAGAGACAGAGTGACGAAGGTGAGAGAGGCCGGTGAGACCGGGCAAACCTGACAATATGTAAGTGATGTCAGTGAATTTTTCATTTGCGAAACATCTCCTCTACCTTGGCAAAATGCTACCAAGATGTCATACAAAGACAAAATAACACATATGAGACCTTCTGAGTTGAACACGTAATGGCTCAAATTTGTTGTGTAGTAATAAAAACAGCCAGGACTGTATTATTACAGAGCTGTCCTCAGCTAGATAAAAACCATTAAAATAAGGCTGTTTGCCAAAGCAGAAAGGTGTAGTACAATCAGAAGCCAGTGCCTGATAAGTTCTACTGTATCTGACTGAAGGGTTGCATTTATAATTTTCTGAGGTAATTAACATACAGCTAATTTCCACTGATTTGGCATATTAGGACATAATATCGTCACAGGTTCTGCATTTGTTTCCACTACACTCAGACCTTTTTTTGGAGGCACGCTCTGAGAGCTAGATTTCAACACCCCTCAGGAGGTAGTACTAAAATCGAGAACTGCGTGGGAGAAGGGGGTGCGTGTGTGCAGAGCAGTCGCAGGTGATTGGTTAAATGTCTGCGTCTTCACATCTCAAGCATTAGCATTACAAGCACCATGTGTAAACACACAGCTGACTGCATGTGTGAGAGGGGAGCAGCCCCTCTCTTCTCTAAACAGAGACAGACAGAGGGAAAATACAGTGGAAAAACAAAGTAGGGTGGGCCACAATTTTTCACTTGTCAGGCAGTTGGCAAATTTTGATCTGATCTTCCAAAGTTAATTTGCTCTGGAGCATTATGTAGGTGATCTGTTCTGGTTAAAAGCGAGCCAGAATACCTGAGTACTAAAAGCTCAACGATAGGGGGCTAAACCAGTAATGTTGCTTTGTATTAAGGTGCCAGATTCTTGAATGTGGCATTTTTGTTGTAATTTCTTTGCCTTTTGCACCTTTTTTTGTTTGCTTCCCTGATGTCTCAAAACAAAACATAGGAAAGGTCATGACCGGGTCACACCATGACACATAACGGGGAGAGACCCTAACTTTAAAGTTGCAAGCATAGTTTAAATTAATGGGAGAGAACAGAATTAATCACTATATAAATCAGACATTAAGAGGTGTGTAAGTCTGCAAAGTCAGATGTGTGAGTGGATTATGAGAAGTCTGATGTAAAATGTTATGTGAAGAATAAAATAAAATGCCAAAGAAACAACGTGCTGAACTGCTTCCTCCTTCTGGACTGAGTGTGGTGGGCCCAGCTTCTCCCTCTCACCCAGTCGATGGACCGCTCACCTAATAGCTGTGAAACAGGAGACCAAACAAGCCTGGTTGTACAGGCCCGGGCCATCCAAAAAAATCCTTAAACTGTTGCTCAAGTTTTATACCTATGCAAATGTGTAGCCTCTATATGTGTGTCTGTAGTGTGATTATTCACACCGTATTTAATACAGTATATACAGACAAAAGGTCACTACCAGAATGTATGGCATATCATATTCTATATCAAACATTTTTATCCATTCTTCTTTATGTTTATCTTTTCAACATCACATTTCTTTTTTTCTGTTTTGTGTGAATTACATTTGCAGCATCCAAGCTGCTACGTGTATACATACAGTATAGTGTATATAAGTACAGTATACATTTGTCCAGTGTACAGTTTACATGCACTACCTGCAAACTACAGTGCACACTCAGTAAATACTTCCACTCAGAGGCACTCAGCAGAAATAAACCTCTTTGATAAGCTTAATAAAACAACTGCAGTACAGTTTCTAGGTGTGACACTGGTTTTCTGACAGTTGGTATTTGTCTCCATGCAGACCTCTGATCCCAGTCAGCAAGCTGACTGTGTCTGAATCCTATGAGAATTACATGAGTCGGAGTTTTCAAGTGACCAAAGATATCCTGTCAGACTGCAAAAACACTGGTAAGAGTAACACAGCAGAGCTCCTGGAGACGTTGTTGAGTTTGTGTAGGTGAACTTTTACTTGATTGTTTTACATTCTCATGTGTGTGTCCTCTGCTGATGTTGCATCCTGCCTGGGTTTCCATTCTGCGTAGGAAACAACGTGCTGATTGTAGCCCACGCTTCCTCCTTAGAGGCCTGCACACGCCAGCTGCAGGGCCGCAGCCCTCAGAGCGCCAAGGACTTCATCCAAGTAGTCCGAAAGGTCTGTTCACTGCATACAGTGTCTTTTTTATGTAGTCTATCAGATTTGTTTGGTTTCTATACATCCCACTTCCTTCTCCATCCATCATGACTTTCATCTCAGTTCCTCCTCCCCTTCCCATTGGGACTGGATGTGCAAAAACATGTGTACACTGAAAACTCCAGAGATGTAAGGAATCATCAGCAGACTGACATCCTCAAATGTCCCTTTTAGTGAACTTTCTTGCAGAACCAAAAGTATCATGCTTGGATACTTGAGCATGTCCCTTCTTTGCATGAAATAAATGACCAATTTGGCCTACTCTTTGTGTCTGAAGGACTGCACTGAAACAGACAAGTCGTACCACTAACCAGAGCTTACAGTATATCACATATTACCTTTACCAATAACATATTACTTAATATATTATAGTGTCAGCCTCCAACTTGACCAGTCTGACCACTGACCTCTGACTACCAGACTAAACTTCCCCTTCAGATAATGGGTCTTTGTTTCGCTGCTCATTAGTGAGAGAACATGGGGCTGCAAGCTGCTGTTATTCAGGTCAGTGAGGCTTTACTCTTTGCCTGCCTGGTCTCTAACAAAACACTCTTCTGTTAAATGGCAATTTGTTTGCGTTTTCTCTATAATAACTTCAGGGCTTCACTGCCGTCAGCATCAGCCCCGCCCATGACCCTACCGCCAAACTGTGATTGCACATTGTTTTTCATTTTGGTGTTTTCAGCTCCTGGTAAAACAGTAGATCTATGCTGCTGCCTGCTGGACAACACTGAAATGCAATATACTGCTTCACTTTGATTAATGTGTTGTCACCCTGAAAAAAATTGTTACTCAAGACAAAAATCAAATAATTGTCCTTTTAAATGGCTAAAATTGCCATTTTAATACATTTTCAAAAATTTGTTAAAGTGTGTTTTCAATCGGGGTTGCTGAGTGTAGGTTGATGGTGAAAAAGCCATTTGCAGCACATTCAAGTGTCCAAGAAGTGAAGTGGTCTGATTACTGATTTCTAAACTATAATAGCCTAATTAAGAAGTATTTAACATGTATGCTAAAAATTTGTTCACTAACAGCAAATCAATTCCGGAAGTGACCTTTCACAAGACAAAATACCCACTGTGCCACCAGCTGTTATGTGCCATTCGCACCTGTCAGTGAGTGAACGAGAAAGAGGCGGACCCAGGTAGCCGACTTCGATGCAAGCAGTGATTTATTATGTACAGTGATGAGGAGAAATAACAAAATGCACAGAGGGAAATAGTGCGTAGTCCTGTCGATGAGTAGTAACCGGGTGTTTGACCAACAGCAGGAGGCGAGGAGATGGAGAGCTGGGCCGAGCTGCGTAGGCTGGGTCACTCCTGGGCTGGTCGGTGGTGATGGTGGCTACTGAAGGTGGAGACAGAGAGATGATGACAATAGTAGAACAGATAGGCGACTGAGCATTGACCTGCCTGGGAGGGGAGAGTGGAGCCACAGTCCGGAGGAACAGTCCATGTGGAGAACACAAAACAGTAGCTGGCTAGGGAATAATAATATACCCCAAAAAAAAAAACGAGACAGCACGGAGAAAAAATGGCCTAGAGACAAGAACAAACTGGCAAGTGACTGAGGAGTGAAACCGGGTAATATAGTGAGAACCTAATCGAGTGCAGCTGGTGATAAGGGAGTGAGGAACAGGTGAACGTGATTAGTGTAAATGGGCAAGAGACAGTAGGAAAGGTGAGGGAGGCAGAGCGGCCGAGCAAACCTGACACCAGCAAGCAGTGCAGGCTCATGCAAATAATGACAGAGGGGTTAAACACAGAAAACATCAACTTTACCAATACAAAAAGAAACAAGTTATCTCGGGGAGGTTGTTATTACTGTATGAATATATGTACAGGTTTCTATCTATAAGTACTTTACTCTTATTTTTTATCTCTTTTCCTAATCCCTTGCTTGTTGATATGTACGTACACATTGAGAGCCGTTGTACCAGAGTCAAATTCCTCGTGTGTCCAACACACCTGGCCAATAAAGCTGATTATTCCTCTGCTTGGCCTTCAGATCCCCTACCTGGGTTTCTGCTCCTGTGAGGAGCAGGGTGACACAGGAGTGTGGCAGTTAGTGGACCCTCCCATCCTCCCCCTCACACATGGACCAAACCACACCTTTGACTGGAGGGAGTTGCTTCTGCAAGAATGACATCTGCCTGATCTGAACATCTTCCACCTGGTCCTACTATACTCCCCCAGGCTACAGTAACAAGCTTCAGACATGTGCCCCTAAAATACTGGAACTTCTCTCTTTTCAGCCTCATTACACAGCTACTGGCTTTCAGATGTCACAGCTGAAGAAGTGTCCCACCTAAATATGAGAAACTGAGTCGGAGTCAAATGACTGGTGAACTGCCTGCATCCCTCGGTGGCTGGTTTCAACAGTGACTAAGCAAAGGCCAGTCCTCAGATTTCACTGTACTGCTATTTTTTTAAGGATAAGTTAGTTTGAGTGATAGCTGCACTGTGTAGGAGAGCTATCACTGGCAATCAGTTGCATCATGCTTCGACACTGTCAGCCCAGTCTCAGGAAGTTTTGTGAAATTATCATTTGCTCTGCTTCTGTGCGTAATTAGCAAGAAAAATATTTTTCTCAACATGAATGTATTGCACAATGCTTCATTCACACAGTGTCGTCAGAATGGGAGAAACAAACAAAACATTTCTTATTATGAGTTGGGAGTGTTTGTGCACTATTCCTAGGTGGTTAGCTCTACTGCTAATCTGTAGCCACATCAAATAAACTGCCTAAATTAGCTACTTTTTGTCTGTAGCAGTTTCTTATCAAGCTAAACCAGATACAAACAAACAGTTCCTACAAAATGACTGGAAGTGATTGTATTAATGTTAAATTTTATTGTGATATAACTGCCAGTGGTGGTGTATTTGCCACCATTCTGCCAACCATTTACTGACATGTATGTAGTTGTTTTCACCAAGTGGGAGCTATATCAATGTCAGAAACTTTGGAATCACAAGTTGGAGGCGGACGTGAACAGTATTCCCTGCTCGGTTGCTCATAAATATGTATTAAACAATATAACGTACGTGAACACAGCAAGTAAGCAGGACTAAAGTAGACATGTGACACTGAAGTAATGCAAATGAACGCAAAGGTTTGCTTTACTTTCAGCTCCGATTTCTAAGCTTGGTGAGACGGGTGCTATGTTGCATAGGAAGTAATGCAAATGAACGCAAAGGTCTGCTTTACTTTCAGCTCCGACTGCTTTTATTTCTAAACTTGGTGAGACGGGTGCTATGTTGCATAGCTGTAATTTTGTTGTCTATCAAATCTGACGCATTATTTTGTGGAATTGGTAGCAAAAACTAGTGTTCATACTATACTATGTATTTAGGTTTTTTCATTCCATTGCTCAAATTTCTGAGGACACTGTATAGTGTGTAACATTTGAAACTCAGACATGCACTAGATGGTACATAGTGATTTTGGACATAGCATTTGGTGTGATAAGTGTGACTCTCTGACAGTGTCAGTAGGTTGGCTGATCAGCTAACATTTTAACATGCTAAAGTTTGCATGTTAAAATGTGTATTTTGCTAAAATTAGCATTACCATGTAACCATGATAGTGTATGTGTTGGGTTTATCATGTGTTAATTGTATGCCATCATGCAATCTTGATAACATGCTAACATTAACATGGCCCAGTTGTACTCTGAGCTTAATTCCAACACATCTCACTTGCTAAATGTTAACATGAAAAGGAGATAACATGCTGTGTTAACATACTGTATACCTGTAAACCGCTTTTACTGGGGGCAGTAACACAGTGTTTGCATAATATCTGATTTGCATTTGAGTTTGTGCTTATTACACAACATTTAATGAAACTATTGAGATTTTGCAATGAGAGTTTTGTGACAGATCCCAGCAGCATTTCCACTTCATCTAACTATCCATGTGAATAAGCACATATAAGCTGTTGCCTGAGTGCAGCTTGGATCACAGCGCTCCAGACCATAATGAACAGATGGTAGAGATTGTATGAAAAAACATGTCATCCTTTGTCCTGCTTGCCTGCCTCAGTAGCAGAAGGAAAACATATCAGATCTGGCTTCAGGTCTTCACCAAGGCTTTTCCTGATGCTACACACGTAATGCGGCCCCTAATGAAAGTTTACAGATGACAAAGGTTTGTGAGAGCTCAAACCAAATCTCTGGTGCTACTCAATCTGCAAGTTAACAATTAAGATTTGAGTTTGTAAGAGCAGAATTAGGTTTGAGTGCACAGTATTGTGCATAGTTGTTCTCTGAGCTGCTTGTCTGCTCTGTCAGTTTTCTCCAGGACTTTTGGCAGCTTCTGGGCATATCAAGCGAGCATTTGTCAACCAGTTTTGACTGACAAGCTATAACCACATACAAGCACATCTGGATGTCAGGGTCATGTCATTTTTAAGGTTCAAGTCCACAGAAGGAAAAAAAACCCTCCTGCCACATAGATCAGTCATGTTATACAGTTGCTGTTGGCTAAAGCATCTCCGTGGTATTGACTGCATCTTTTATTAAAACAACAAGCCATTGTGTATGATTTAGGCTAATACCATATGTTCATTTTGTGAGCTAAGAAGAAATGTCGTGACATTTATATGAAGTGAAATGTTGTTATAATGTACAGTTTATTTATAACACTGACAGATTTTAGCCACATTCTGAATCTATGGCTTAGAGACTAAATTGTTTGCCAACAGATTGAACATGATATTAGTCATTTAGTGTCAATGCATGATCTTGAGGATAATACAAAAACCAAAGACTGCTCTTTCTGCACTGCCACCAGCTTTTATTTTGAAAACCAAGGGAAAGGTTTAACAGGATGACCCTTCACTTCCAGGTCAAATCGAACAGGTGAACCTCTGCTCTCAGTTTGAGTTTGTGCTCAGGGGATCCAGGCTAGTATGTAATTGTTCTTGTGCACACAGATCGTCTGTTGCACTCATGATTCTGCCCTCCCTCGCACTCAAATCTGCTCTCAAATGTCGGCTTGCAGACTGAGTAGCACCGAAAATGTGTTAATCTACTTGCATTGCTCCTCGTGTTTTCTCTATTTTGGTGCCACATGTAGCACATACCATACAGCTGTGTCTTCTGCCATTCATGTAGTGTGTGTAAAGATTGAAACAGCTGCAACTATAACAGCACAATCTGCAATATTGACAATCATATAGTAGTAGCGCCTTGATTCTGCTCCAGCACCATTTTCACTCAGTTTACTGTATGTTGTTCAAGGATTCAGAGTAGCTGTAAATAATCATATTTTGAAAAAGAAAAGTCTTCCAGTTTTATTTCTATTTATTTGTAAGCCTTTCTTTCAGATGTTAAAAGCAAAGATACTGAAAAATAGGATTATCACTTTTGACTGCTTGTAAGAATTTATGCTTCATATCTCAGGTGTTTGCTGCATTGAAGACATACCATAGACTGAATGTAAAAATGGATGATGCATCACCATTTCTCTGCACTATGCAACAGTGAAGGCAAAATATCAAGAATATGGCGACTGCCATCTTGGTATTTTGCTACCTGATTCTGTGCAGTAGCAGTGTATCAGACCACCGATCAAAGTTGTCAAATCATATGAAATAGCCCGTTTTTATATCATAAAAAACGTATTAAAAACAAACTTACTAGAAAAACAACCACTTGGACACAAATCAGCATGATGATATGGGAAAATGTATTTGACTTGTAGTTTGAATGTTTTGTTTGGCTTATGTCCCATCTGCTGTCATGTAGGGGGTGGGGTTTATGACCTATACAGCAACCAGCCACCAGGGGGTGATTGACTTGTGGTGGCTTCACTGTCACACCGTCCATTTTTTTATACACTCTATGAGACATATATGCAGCTGTGAAAACTGTCATTGATAGAGTGACAATGTTGTTTTGAGTGCCTCCTGGAATTAAAGTGATGCCTCCTAATGTACTGACTGCCCACTTATAGTTACACAAGATGTTTGAGATCTGTTTTGTTGTTGGTCTGCTTTAAGACCCCATAAGAGTTGCATGTTAAGACAGTTCTCACCAGAGCATCTATTAACCCCTCTCTATTGTGGATACATGTTTGGAGCCTTTTATAGATATTTTATTTCTAGAAGAACTGACCATTGTCTGTCCTGTCCATGATGTCAGGTGCTTTCTAAACCCATATGGTCTATAGTATTTAAATCAAGTTTTGAAAGTGTTTTGTGAGATTTTTACCTAAACGTACAAAGACAAATTATGAAAATAAAAGCTAATATATTAGGAACTGAAACATACAGAAAATATAACTATATAATTTTTTTTTTGTGTATACAAAAGCTAGTTGGAAATTCCTTACATGATCCATTTAATATCTCTATAATACAGCGCTTCTGTGTCCACACGTCCATGGCAGCGATAAATGTGAATCCTGCAGCATTTTTCTGGAAAGTTTAAATCACTGTATTCTGTGTTCAGCTGCACCCTCCACTGGTGTGCTGAGTGTGTTTGATAGAATCATTTAACATATTAGTGAAATGTTGTGCTTATTCTCTTTCTTGCTGAGAGTTAGATGAGAAGATAAACACCATGTCTGTCTGCTAAATAGGACACTGGAGCTGCAGGGGAATGGCTTATCTGAGCTAGTTTTGTCTTGACATTAATCCGTCAAAATTTAATTCATTAACATGTTTTCTTTAATTTGGTGCACAACAGGAATCATGGAAGTCACAGAACTTGGCCCAGAAATATTTTCAGGATCTAACTCCCCGTAAATCCACAACTTGCTTTTAAATTTGGATTTTTGTATTATAGAGATTAGATACAGTGTGTGGGTAAGCTTTACATGTGTCTGTAGACTGAATTTTTAGCTGCTGAGTGAGCTAGGCTAGATGAATGTAGGATGCAAACAAGTAAAAGATTTTAGTATGTTCAATATATGCCTGAATACAAACATCAAATGGCATGTAGAGTTTTGGTGCTCTTCCACTTCTGGCTCTAGCTTCTTATTTAAAATTTCACTGTGGAGTTTTTGATCTTTAGTAGCATTATAGAGCTGAGTCCTCATTCTGCTTGTATCAGGCACATGCACAATGATACACTGAAAATACTGTTTAAAACAAGTTACATTCAGTTCCACGTATGTTAGCGCTCCAGGGTACACACATGTGGTCAGGGACACTGACTGTACATATAACTTTTGTTTGTCTACAAGAGAACTCCACACAACACCATAACACGCAAACTTGACATCAATCCTCTGATCTAACTCTTGGCAAGAAAGCCAACGGGTTTCCAAAAATGTCAAACCAGAATTTTAAGGAGCATTCCGAACAGTTCACAGCAGCAGTTAGGAAAATAAAACCTATGCGAACGTACCTGTAGACGTTCGCCAAACTGTATCTGGAGTTGATTCAGTTGTGGTTTGCTCTCCTCACTCAAACATATTTGGAAATCTACACTGGGAAAATTAGTTCAGCACAACATGGAAGACATGTGAGAAACTCTATTCATTTCCTGGGATGTGAAAAGTTTGATTTGTCGATCTTGTGAAAGGCTCACAACAACCATCTCAATGTTTTCCTGTTTCTTTGATCTGCAAACCAGTAATCTTCCTGAATCCAATTCGATCTCTGGTGTTGTTTCTGTGCAGATGCTTTGTTTGACACAGTGGTTGGGTGGGAAATACAGTGCTACTACAGAAATGTGAATGCTTATTACACAATGTACTGGGGCAGCAAATGGTGTATTAAAGAATTACATGTTAAGTGAAACACCAGAAGATGAAAGCCATGTTGAGGAAATTTAAAAGAAGAAGCCATGTTGTTCCTTTAATCTTTATTTGTCTCAACATATCACCAAATGTACAACAATTAATTTAAAGTTGCTTCTTTGGAAATATATTTGTTGATTTGTAATTTAAGATAAGGTGTGTGTGGAGGCCTCATGTAAAATGATTTTTGTTTTGAACTCATCTTTGGCGCTTGTGCTTGTGAAGCACTGAGTTCTGAAGAAAATCCCCTTTCTAAACGGGTGTAATAGTTTCTTATTTCATATGCAGGAGGGAAAACCACATCATCATTCTACGATTTGCAGCAACAGTATGTGTGTGTTTGGTTTAGTTCTGAAAAAACATGAAGTAACAATATATGAATTAAAAGCACCTCAGCAATAACATTATAAAACAGCAGGTGTGCAAGTTACTATTTATGTTTGTTTTGCACCTACACCACAAATATTGTAAAGGAGGACAAATCCAATAAAATTTGACCTTTGTTTGTTTTTGTCAATGTATCCACAATGAGTGCTCTCACCCAGCGCTGGAAGCTGTGGTAAACCATGGCTGGGCGGCGAAAACCTCCTCTAGACCTGAAGGTTTGGATCCTGCCAGGAAGTCACTATTATCCAGTCCAGACAAGAACATTTGTGTCAACATTTTTAAAATGTTTCCATCAAACAACAACATTAGGCTATTTCTTTAGATTTAAAAACACATTATAAGAGCAATGGTAGCGGTAAATCAGTAGGTAAGATGTGGGTGCAGTGAATATCTGAGCATTCAGTCTTGTGTCACAGACTGACAGGTGGTATTAATATGCCACAGTATGCTGCAATGCACTGGCAAAAGCAGAAAGGAGGACTCAAGCTGGTAAACATGGGGTAAAGTTCCTTAACTGCATCCTGGAAAAATCAAGAACAAAAGAGTCAAGGGGTACACCTGATGTCTCTTCCTATGTCTTCGATCCTTGGTCGACCCAGAAGTCGTTCTGGTCAACGAAGGACATAGGAACTTCCAAGTCTCTTACTGTATATTGGCTCTGAGGACAGAGGATTGAGGACCATGGACGCTGCTGGAGGAGCCACAACTGAGACCTTTATGGAAGTTTTTTGTGAAATCACATGTCCCTTTATCAGAAACCAGTTGGTGATTGGATGCTTCAGATGAAGGACCTGAGGAAAGGGCTTGCGTGGGTTCTCTCCGGGTGCTCCGGCTTCCTCCCACAGTCCAAAAACATGCAGCTTAGGTTGATTGGTGTCTCTAAATTGCCCAGAGGAGTGCATGTGTGTGTGTGTGGTTGTTTGTCTATGTGTTAGCCCTGCGATGGATTGGCAACCTGTCCAGGGTGTACCCCACCTTCGCCCGATTGCCAGCCGGGATTGGCTCCGGAAGATGGGGGTCAGCACAGGCTTTCAGGCAGGAGGGGGTCACCAATTGTCTGCCAATTGATGGCTCTCCACAGCAGGGGTTTCCTGTAACCGGTGAAGTTCCGTAGGCTCCTCCGCACTGAGAACAGCTCATTGGCCAGACACTGATTTTGCTTCCTTTCAGAGTAGCTCCTGTTTGCTACTCTGATCTCCTTTGTCAGTATGTTCCTGGCCTGGCTGTACAGTGTCCTGTCCTCTCTCCTTTTTGGCATGATGAAGCTGCTTACTGTGAACCAGGGTTTGTTGTTGTTGTATGTGCAGAAGGTTTTGGCACACACGTCCTCACAAAAGCTGATGTATGATGTCACAGTGTCAGTGAGTTCATCCAGGTCTGTAGATGCAGCCTCAAATACATCAGTCTGTGGAGTCAAAGCAGGCCTGTAGCTCTGACTTTGGCTGCTCAGTCCATCTCTTCACTGTTTTGATCACAGACTTTGCAGCTTTAGGTTTCTGTCTATAGGTTGGGATGAGATGGACCGTGCAGTGGTTGGAGAGACCGAGGGCTGCATGGGGGACAGATTGATAGGCGTCTTTTATTACCCTGTAGCAGTGGTCCAATGTGATTTTGTCCCTGGTGAGACAACTGACTTGCTGTCTGTATTTGGGCAGTTTGTGGGTGAGATTTACTTTGTTAAAATCTCCTAAGACAATGAACAGGGACTGCGTGTTTCTGTTCCATGCAAATTATCTAGTGGGCTAGGAGCTGCAAGACTGTGGTGGAGTATAAATACTGACCAAGATAAACAAGGAAAATTCCTTCAGTGCATAGAATGGATTGGTGTGACAAGTGTTTGTCTTTAAAGCAGTACCAGTTCTTCTCTCCACTTGCTCATGGTTTTTCATGCTACTTAGATTGTTCCAGCATTGTGGAGAACCTGCCCCGGTTCTGTCCCAGTGATTTCTGTCTCTTCATGTGATCCCAGACTGACACCATGATGTTCAGATCAGGGCTCTCTGGGGTACCACACCTTCTTCTTCTTCACTCTGTGGTTATAGTTCTTTATGGTGCTGTGGCTGCAAGTTTGGGGTGATGGTGTCATGCTGAAGAATGATTATGGGCGAGATCAGACACCTCTCTGATGGTATGGTGTAACAGATAAGAATTTAAACATCTAAACTTTATGGTCTATATAAGGTGGAAAGTAACTAAGTACGTATACACAAGTACTGTACTTAAGTACAATTTTGAGGTATAAGTGCTTGAGGATTTTCATTATGTTTCATACTCATATTAAAATGGATTCAATTTAATTTTTTCTTTATCAATGTACACACAATACTCCACAGTGAAAGTGAAAACAGCTTTTTGGAGTGTTTAGTAAATTTATTAAAATAAAAGACTGAAAAACCCAATTTACATAAGTATTCAGTAGCTTTGTTATGACACTTGTAACTGAGCTGTGGTGCATCCTCCTTCTGTCAGTGGTCCCTGAGATGCTTCTACAACTTGATTATAGTCCACCTGTTCCCAGTGTGATGCACTGGATATCATTAGAATAGTCACACACCTGGTCTCATGGTTAATGGTGTATGTCAGAGTGAAAAACAAAGCCATGAGGTCGAGAGAACTGTTCACAGACCTGCGAGACAGGACGGTGTCAAGACACAGATTTGGGGATAGATACAAGAACATTTCTGCAGCAGTGAAAATGCCCAAGAGCACGGCAGCCTCCGTCATTCTCAGATGGAAGAGATCTGGAATCACCACGCGCCTTCATAGATCTGGATGCCCAGCTAACCTGAGTGGTCAGGGACCAAGGGCCATGATCAGACAGGTCACCAAGAACACAAGGGTCACTATGAATGACATCCAGAGTTCCTTTCTAGAAATGGGAGGATGACAACCATCAGCGCAGCACTCCACCAATCAGGCCTCTGTGGTAGAGTGGCCAGATGGAAGCCATTCCTTACTAAAAGGCACATCAGTCTACTGCAAGTTTGGCAAAAGGCATCTGAGGGACTCTTAGCACATGAGAAGCAAAATCCTCTAGTCTGTTGAAACAAAGACCAAACTATTTGGCCACAATTCCCAACAGCATGTGAAGAAAACCAGGCACTGAGCATCTCCTCATTAATACCATCCCTGCACAGTGGTGCAGCATCATGTTATGGGGAGGTTTTTCTGGGTAACTGGGAGACTAGTCAGGATAGAGGGAAGGAAGGATGTCAAAAAATCTAGAGCAGTTCTGAGTGAAAACCTTCTCCAGAGTGCTCAGGACCTCAGGCTGCGACGAAGGTTTACATTTCAACTAGACAATCACACAAAGCAAACTGCCAAGAACGCACAGGAGTGGCTTCAGGAAAACTGCTGTGGAGCAGCCCCGCCAGAGTCTGGACCTGAACCCAACCGAACATCTCTGGAGAGACCTGAAAATGGCTGTGCACCAACACTGCTCATCCAGCCTGGTTGACATGGAACGATTCTGTGAAGAAGAATGGAAGAAAATTCCAAAGAAAGGTGCCAAGCTTGTAGCTTCATCCCCAAACAGACTTGAGGCTGTTGCTGCTGTCAGAGGTGCTTTAACCAAGCACTAAGTGAAGAGTCTGAATACTTCTGTAAATGGGATATTTCAGTCTTTTATTTTTAATAAATGTTCAAAACACTCAAAAAACCTGTTTTCACTTTAACATTGTGGAATATTGTGTGTACACTGATGAGGAAAAAATTTAATGAATCCATTTTAAGATGAGTCTGCAACATAACAAAATGCTGAAAATGTGGGTCTGAAAACTCTACCTACTGACTGTAAATGAAAAGAAATACAATAACACACTACAGTGGGTACACTGGCACAGAATAAAGAAATAGGCATTGTGTTGTATTGTCTATGAAAGTCAGTTAAAATGAGCCACTGACTGAGATAGCACTCATAGAAAATAGAAAATACAATAAAGAAAAACAGCAGCAGTCCATGATAGAAACTACAATAAAGAAAAACAGCAGCAGTCCAGACGTGTTTATTCCGATAGGTAGCCACAAAGTTTGAGCACTTACTGCTCTGGCAAGCACTTCAGTCATGATGTGGAGCACAGCATCTTGCAATAGAGCATTACAGCAAATGTTTAATAGTTTTATAAACAAATGATGTAACCTGATAAAATGTTGAAGTTGTGTTTATACTACAACACTACATACAAGTATTGTCAGCATGAAAAAGCCTATAATGGCCACTTTCTTAAGAGTGTAAGGAGCGTGACAGTAGTATTAATCTGTGATATTTAGATAAGGTCTGTTTGGCTTCTTCTGTATGACAACTCAACCTACAGTTAGTAGGTCTGCCTTCATGCCCTTTCCTCCTTAAAAAGGCCAAATACGACATTTACACTTAAACATAAACTCAGTTGCACCTCGTGTCGTGCTGAAACCTATTTTTACTGATTTTGCATCCATGTTTTGAAGATGCAATATTAGCCAAGCATAAACAGGCCTAAGTGTAGCTCTACAGCAGCTCAGTGCACATTTCAACTTAGAGCAGAACAGCACAGGGCTGCTGTGGGCCTGGAGCTCCAGTGACATGAACACATGAAGCTGTACAAACTTAGTGTCACTAGCTGTGCCACATGTGCAATAAAACTAAATGCTCCTTTCAGTTTATACATCAGATATACTAAATTTAATCTCTCTGTAGTACAGGTAGCTAGCTCAGTTAAAACCTGGTAAATCTGGAAACGTTACATTCAACATGAGCTGAATAAAGATTATGTTGGAAAAAGTTCTTTTGTTTTAACAATAAAACTCTTTTCCATAGACAATGGCGGCAATGGATAGGGCCAGAGCAAGTACTTGTGAACATGAGGTTCAGCAAAGTCAGTTATAATGATGGTGGATTAGAGCTGATGAATGAGGGACTGAATTTAACATTTCTCAGGTTTCACATCTAAAGAAGCCCCGTTTCAGTGCAGCAGGACCTACTCCCAACTAGAAACTGGTTCAACCAGGTGTTGAAAAACTCATATTTGGCCCCATCAAATTCAGCTTTTCTAAATGAGTAGCAGCTGAGAGAGACTACTGGAACTTCTCTTTGTTACCTGCTAGACAATGGTAGACATGGATGAAACCTTCTTGGGGGAAAATATTTGAGAAAGCTGAATTTCACTACCATTGCATTTAATATAGTGACACTCGTGATCTACTGATGATAATATTAGGTGTGAAGGCTGTTTTGTTTCCCAGAGAGGCGGGGTTCTGCTCAGCTCAGGAGGTGGTTCTGTGAACTACTGAGTGTAAGAGCAGGCTGCAAACACCTCCAGCAGCGACTCTGAACAAGATGCAGGACCCCACTAAGCACAACTTTGTCCAAGTAGTGTTTGAAATCCCCAGCCTTTTATGTGCTGCTGACTGAGCCCACCTGGTGCTACAGGACGTTTCTGCACTGTCTGGAACTGTTTGCTCTAGTTAAACGTGAAACAAATATGTGTGCATATGAAAAGGAAGTCAAGTTTTTACTTGACACAAGGCTGTGTGTGACTGCACTCTAAGAGCCCCTGCCCCTCAGCAGAGGAGGATTATCTGGTGTCGTTGAGCTGCCTGGCCACCATCAGGATCTCCTTGGCTCCTTTGCTCAGCAGCAGGTCGGCCAGGTCGACCCCCAGCCGCTCCGCACGGGCTTTGACCTCACCTGAGATCTTGGTGGCCGTGACTCCCACTCGCTGGACCCGCTCATCCACCTCTTCCAGGCTCTGTCACATGTAACACATTAACAGTCTGAAGTCTGGCAGAAGATTTCACACTTATTGCACGTACTGTTGAGTCTCTTGATGTTCATCCCGGCAGTTGTTACCTTATCAGCAGCAGTGATGCTAGTCTGCATGGTGTCCTTCAGACTGTCTGATCCGTCCAGGCTGTACACGGCCCCCGTCAGGTAGAGCTGGGTCAACGACAACAATAAACTGTGCTTCAGGTTCTACAGTTCATGATGCATCTGTATCCACCCTTCCTGCATTAATGTTTATGAATCACTGCCAACATCTCAGATTTGTTCAGCAGTTAAAATATGGCTTAAGAGAGTACTCCACTGACTTAGCACTGCCCCTCTGAAACACAGGCGGACTCACAATGCACAGTTAAAAAATATGATGCAGCAGAACCAGACATTTCTCTGGCTTCACAAATGTGACTTCCTTGCCAAACTGGGAGTGACAAGAAAGTGAACCCTTTAAATTTAAATTAGAGCCTGCTTTGTCTTAGCTCAACTTCTGAATCAGAAGTTGAGTCTTTCTCTTTCCATTCAGCTACTCAGCTGTCTCAGCTTCCCTTTCCTTCCATGCAGATGTGTACATTTAAAAAGCTGATTAGAAACCTAATTATTAGGAGCCTGGTTGTCCGTATACAGTGATAAGTCTGTGTTCTCAGGGCGATATCTATCAGGAGATAACGCTCTAGGCTGACTGTCTATCAGGAGATAACGCTCTAGGCTGATAACCAACACTGGTTAAAGGAATCAGGAGGCCGACAGTAACCCAGTTACTGAAGTCTCAGATAATGTTCATCACTAAATCCACGTTTTTGACATTATGACATGTCATTGTAGCTTCCCCTTGCACTGTTCAGTGTAACTCTGGCACATTAGGAAGCAGCTATGTCATCATCCTGGCTGCTGCCGGCCTCAGGAGGATGAGCTGGGAGAACTGCATCAGTCAGGTACAGCTCATGATCCTAGTCCTCCATATGCACTGTTCCTCAAATGTTTGCATATATTATTCATGACAGATGGATAAAGAGCAACCCCTAATACCTACAGTGGTTTGAATATGTGTGTGTCTGTCTGTCTCTACTTAGCAGTCCTACCTGGGAGTCTTTCACTTCAGTGTGTACAGCCACTGGAACACTGCACCCCCCCTCCTACAAATGACAAAATGTTGTATTGTATACACTGGGAGTTCCATATTATTACTTTAGGAGAAAGAGTTGAAGAGATTGTGTGTGGGTGTGTGAGTGTGTGGTGTACCAGGCGTTTGAGGAAGGCTCTCTCAGCTATGCAGCGCAGCACGGTGTCAGGGTCATGGAGGACCGAAACCATCTCCAGGATGTCTGTGTCTTTAGCCCGGACCTCCACCGCCAGAGCCCCCTGAACAACACACACACGGTTTTTTTTTCCAAGAATTTTATATGCTCACATGAACACAGTGTTATTATTAGCTGAATGTCACAGCTTCTATTCCACTGTTCTTACCTGGCCAACAGCGTACATACAGTCGCCAGGCTCCAGGGTCTACCAGAGGAAAACAAAGAGACAGTCGGAGTGTAACGTGTGAGAGGTCACTCAGAGACGCTTCATACAGACGACTAGGATCAGGAGCTTACCTGACTGATGCGGTTCTCCCAGCCCATCCTCCTGAGGCCGGCAGCAGCCAGGATGATGGCAGCAAAGTCCTCCTTCTCGTCCAGTTTCTTCAGACGTGTGTTCAGGTTGCCACGCTGAAGACCACAGTTAAGGACAGAGACAAGTACCTTTCCAGCTTCCCAGCCTCCCTCAGGAGAAAAACTGCTCCTCAACCTGAATATTAAATTAAAAACTAACCCGTTTCCAAGCTACCTCTGTCTCAGCTGTCATCATGTTCAGGTGCCTTCTCAAAGGATACAATATCCTTAAATTCCAGGTGGGGGAATCTCTTCTTCAGCTGAGCGGCGCGGCGCAGTGAACTAGTGCCGATTACACTACACAGACACACAGTACAAAGTCAAGTTATCCATCCTGTTGATCTGAGTGATAAACACAACCCCATCCATTATCTGTTGGACTGCACCTGTTTTCTGGCAGGGTGTCAAGAGTTCTCCCTACGTGTTTCTGGTGTAAAACCACTGCGTCATTAGGGTTCTCTCTCCTAGGAGCAACACAAAAAAAAAAACTGTGAGTGGTGACAGTCGGATGACAACTACAGAAAGATTACAGAACATCAACTACAGCAATCTGCAGAATGGACAATTACTAATATTTGACTTGTACTGAGGACCAGTAGGAAGACCATAGCCTCCGCTCAGCTCCAGTGACAGTGGCTTGTAAGAAACAAACAAGATCTCCTGCTGTGGTTTCCATTATGTTCTCCACCAGTCATCCTCCTCCTCCTGTCCTCTCCTGACCCGCTCTACCTCCTGAGCCACAGCCGCCCCCATCTTGTAGTCGTAATCTGTAGATTTTCCTAATTAGATTGTTTTTTGCATAATATTTGCGTGCTAGCACGTTTCTTGTTCCCTGCCTTTTGTATTGCTACACTTTCTGGCTGCCACTGATTGTTCCACTGGCTGTCAGCTGGATGTGTCACCTATGTGTGCTCACGCATGTACATGTGTCTGTGTGCACGTACTAGAAGAATAGCTAGTGGGTTAAAAACAAAACAAACAACAACAAAAAAAAACCACCTCCACAAGGCACCTTTAAAGTCAGCCTTAAATTTGAAATATATTCTTACTAAGAAATCAGTAGATTTCTCCTTGGTGTTGTTTTGATGTGTGTGGGTGTTCTTTCAGTTCAATCAGTTCTTTGAGGGCATGCTTTAAAACTACCGTTTGTTATATCACTGCAATTGCAACGGACATGCTTTAAAACTGCCCTGTTTGTTATATCACTGCAATTGCAACGGCCATGCAGGCAGCTAGCCAGCTGTGGGGCTGTTAGCCACTGCTGAGACCCATCAGTGACCACCTACATCAGTACTGCGTGGTGTGATTCTGACAATGGGACGACACTGGGTGGCGTACAAAGTGCTCAGGGTGCAGAACGACCTGTTTCGGGGAGTTTTTATAGTCTGGTCATTTGCCCTCGGCACATTAAAAAAAGAGAGAGAGAGAGAGAGAGAAACTGCTAAAATGTGTTAGACCTCCACCTCTGTAGGCTATACAGGGCTCTAATCAGTAGCAAACCATGTTATATTTAAATATTGTCCCAAATGGTTTATCCTGCTTAAAGAAAAACGGAAAAATTAGCACAACAACTGTAGTGTCATTATAGTCTTACACAAAAACATGAGGCGGAAGTCTGCACAAATGTTAGCCTAGGAGCTAATACTATGCATCACAATCACAACGGCGCCATGTCCGCTGCTTCCATTTCTGAACAGTGACTGAGTCTGTCATGAAAGTGTGGAACGAGGGTCGAATTAATTCCACTACAGACTGGAAAAGTGACTTTACAGCCCAGCAGTGGGTGAGGTAATTCACCCATCAACCTGGAACCAACATAACACACTTCATGTAGACACCCTGCTTGTGTGAGTGCACCCACTTGAGCACGGCTCCGATGGTGAACCCTGGAGGCAGAGCGGTGGGAAGGTCTTTCAGCGAGTGAACAACCAGGTCGACCCTGTGGGCCAGAGAAGAACACATTCAGACGTGCTCACATGCTCCTTTTTTGTTTCCTGGTATAATACAGCCTTTCAGTGGTGTGCAATGCTCTTTATGGCAGTGACAGGACAGAAACACCTGCTACATCTGAGGCTGCTCAGGAAACAAGAGGCATTTTATCTGAAATATACTTGGACGCTCAGTTGTATTTAGATAGTATGCTATAGACAGGAATAATGTGCTGCTGAATGAACTGGGGCTGACAGCGGTATTCTCAGTTAGCATACAGTATCGTTCATGCATCTACATGCCGTTTTTTTCAGCATGTAGATGCCAGTACATATTTATAACTGCTGGGTAATGACAGCTGAAATAGAAAAATATGTAACATGAGCCCCTGTGAGTGAAACTCTGACAGTTGTGTCAGTTGGTGAGACAATGCTGTGAAGGCGACGTGGTGTCAGCCACAAACGACACCGCTCACACTCACTCGTTCATCTCCAGAGCGTTCTCCAGCTCCTTGGTGAACAAACTCTTCTCTCCGATCTGCATTAAAGAAACACTGATTTTGTTACATTTATTTCCTACATTGAACATAAGACATTTCCATGAATATTATATTATACAGCAAAAGGAGCAAAAAAAAAAGGTTCACTTGAATTTTCTGTCTGTTACAGAGGCACCATGGATTCAACAAAGAAAAAAAATTGGAGGACCTTCTCTCGTAATTATGACTTACTATCTCATAATTATGCAATGATACAGGGGTTGGAATGCTGCAAAACCTGCCTGAAAATCACCAGGTTTTAAAGAATTGTTTAGTATCCAAAGTAATTGAATGATAGTTGTCAATATATCCAATAATAAATAGATTAGTCAGTTCACAGAAAATCTACTGTTTGAATCCCTGATTAATAGTCAACTTAACCGTGAGTGTCACCATGGTCTCTGGGGTATTGTACTGGGCAGTTTTCCGACATTTTATAGACAAAAACCATTAACTGAATGATCGAAAGCCAATCAGCAGATTAACTGATAGTAAAATATAATCCTTAGTTGCAGCCCTTGTCTGCAAACTCTTAAACAAGTGTCACCTTTGATAAAGCTGTGTCAAGGATTTTGTCTCCTGTCGTTGACATAGCAACTGAAAAACACAAGACAGAATGATTCAATAATGTGACTGACCACAAATAACCAGTGAGAAACACCAACAACATCTCAGAAATAGAGCCGGAGATCTGCAGCTCTGTGACAACTTGTTAAATTACACTGACAGTTACAACACCAGAGGACATTCAGGTAAAATAAACATCTTCCGGCAGCCAAACTGAAGACCAGCACGATGATGCCTTAATAATTAATGTTGCTTTTGTCAAGTCAGATACTTTCATTTAAGTAATTGCTACCAGTTGCATTTTAACCGTTGCATGGGTCAAATGATCCTGGTGGCTAGCTCGTGCCAGCTGCCTGATGGTGCCGGACACTACGACATTTGTAACACAGCTACAAAGTTGTATATTTTGTTAGGCCCACTACTAAAACATTTAAGTTTGCTATGATCCTCACCTATTTCCAGGTGGACGTCAGGGTACAGTTCTTTCAACTTGTCAGCCACGCTGTCAGTCTGGATGCGAGCCAGCTGGGAAAGAAAAAAAACTTGAACTGGACTGAATTAATGCTTGTAAAACATTTAACCCATCAAATCGGTATGGCAGACTGGAGGAGGAGCAGTTCTCTTGTTGAGCCAGAACTATGTTGTCTCTGCAAGGAGAGCTGCAGACATCTCACTCTGCTGTATCTTTACCAGCATGGAGGAACAGATAACACAATTAACTGACACTCTCACTGAGTCATGTTCACGTTTTAGTCCAAACCTAAAGCAAAGTCAGAACTTAAACTGGAAGCAATTCAAAAGCCACCCTCTCTGAAATGCTGATAAAGTTCAAAAACATAACTTAAGTAAAGCTCAGAAATAAAATATTACCTGGCTTTTGCGGGTTCCGATCCGGATGATTCGACAAACCTTGCCATTGCCGTCCTGCAGGCACAAAAAGCAAGTTAGCCATAAGAGTATAAACTCACTTTCTGTGGAAGCGCTTTGAGATATTCTAGCTGATGCTGTCAGGCAGATTTACAAATGCGCCGAACTGGTGTCCCTGCTCGCCTCACCCTGATGTACTTGTAAGGTCCTTCCTCCATAGCTCTGTGTGACCGTACTAAGCGTTTGCTCTGTAGAGGCTATTGTATCTGCTGTGTGGCTCAGCCTGCCTACTGTGTCTTGGTAGGGGAGTTGTGCTGAGGTCATATAGCCTCTGGAAACTGAACAGTGATCTTTCTTTACTAGCCCCCCACCCCCTGAACCTCCACCCGAAGATATCTCTGGTTCCAAAAGATAAGCGTTCCAGTTCATCAAATCCGTTATAAAAGCAGGGAGGGGCAGATAAGGAGGGTCGTGGATATGAAGTGTGGTTATAAAGAAGTCTGTGAACAAAGAGCTTCCATCTGTGAAACTCACTTTCTGAATGGTGAGCTACCAACAACAAGCTAGGTGCCAAGACTAAGACAGAACAACACATGTGAAACTACCATTTAAAGCAGATTTCTTTGTTAGAAAAATATAAAAACCGCATTGCATAGCAAAGGCCACATTTAACCACAGGCAGAGTGAGTTGTTTTAAATCCTTGGGACATAGTGAACATTATCAACCTTGAAAACTGCAAATATATGAATTATCAATTAACAACACTGTAGTTTTAATGTGTCATTAAGTGTCATTGAACACTGGCCATGCCTGGGATAAGAGGCTGGAGGTGTATGACTGGCTTAAGGTTGACTGGTGACAACACGTTCATTATGTCATTATGAAGTAAAAGTGAGATTTTTCCTATAAGAAACATAAAATAACTATAATTTACCATTTTGTAAAGAAGAAATTTTCAATAGTAAATTGAGTTTTAATATTATTAATGCTGCTGTGACAGGTGTTAGTTTGCGTCCTTGCTTTTACAGTTGCCAGTAGTTGGTAGTCTTGTATTGATCACCCATGCAGTAAAACAGCATTTCATCTGACAGAAATTCGTAACTTTGTTGAGTTGTTTACTTCGCATGCAATTACAGACTACCAAAAGACCTGCCAGGCAAACTGGGTTTAAGGCATAAAGGTGACTGCAGTACCGCACGTCTGCTTGGTTTCAGCCAGATTGAAAGGTGACTGCAGTACTGCACGTCTGCTTGGTTTCAGCCAGATTGTGATGTCCTCTTTTGGTAACGACAATAGTCTTGATACGTTTAAAGGATACAGCAGCTAAAAATATGGGCTTGTACCAAATGAACAGGGGCACCCGGTTTGCACTGGATCTAGCCCAGCTTGTGACTCTCTTGTGACTCTCATGAGTCATGGAGTTAAAGCTGGATCTGTGCAGATTCTCAGTCATCCAGGTCATAGTAAGCTGAAAAAAAAACTTTGAAAAAATCAACTGGACTAGATTTCTAGGTCGAAGACGTTTCACCTCTCATACAAGAGGCTTCATCAGTTCTGACTGACTGGTGTTGAGCTGGAGATATTTATCCCCTTCGGTGTTTCAGTCCTTTGAAGGCCAACAATGGACTCAGTCCACTAAGTTGTCCACCACAGAAATTAAAAAGAATCAGAATTCAACAAAACCTACAGATATGCCTTAAACCCAGCAACCTAACGCCTTAGTGGACTAAGTCCACTAAGTTGTGTCTTAGTCCACTAAATGGACTGTCTTCCATCTACAGTCCTGTTTTGAGATCTCTGCCCAAACATTCCCACCAGGACAATAGGCGTCAGTCCACAGGGGAGGATTTAAAGACAGGTAATGACTCTCACCGATACTGGGCTATATCGTTAAGGGACATTGTTGGCCTTCAAAGGGGGTGGGGGGATAAATATCTCAAGCTCAACACCAGTCAGTCAGGACTGATGAAGCCTCTTGGATGAGAGGTGAAACGTCTTCGACCTAGAAATCTAGTCCAGGTGATTTTTTTCAAAGTTTTTTCAGCTGGATCTCAGGACAATGTTAACGTAGTTAGCAGGCCATCAACAAATACGACTGAACTGTAGGTCCAAAACCAATTCTTTCACCTTTTCTTTAGCTTTTGTTTTTGACTCGCGTCTGCAGACTGCTCTACTTAACACTCCTCTCCCCACCCCCTCCTCTCTACCGTCCAATGGCGAGCGGAGTACTAAAACAGACACAAATATTAACCAATCACCGCGCTCCAAATGAGGTACACACAGAAATGGCGCTCGCCATGTGATTACCCGGCTGTAATGGCGAGAGCTTATGCTCGGTGCAAATCAGTGGCTCAGTTTGACAAACCCTACCAGAGAATTTGCTTCCACCGCCATGTCGGTGATTCGCTTCACTCTGCCGATGCTCTATGAATTAACAGCGCGTTTTGCTGAACACCGAGTCCATTAAGAATTATGAAATCCTTGGAAATAGTCTGAGAGCTCCTCACTTTCAGCTTCCGTGTAAATAATCCGTAACCTTTCATGTCATTGGACCGACTAGACGCAATTTCCTTGTTCCGTTGGTTAGTTTCCTCTTTCTGATAGTAGGGGACAAAAAGTCACGGTCAAATTAAAATATGGGTCTAATTTATCCTATATAGTGCGAGTGTGTCATTTTTAAGCTTATTTGATTCAAGAACATAATGATATGGCGTAGAATCACAATATACAACTCAGTAACACAAGAATGGCACCTCCGGACGAGGTTAAATATTCAAATCAATCAATCAGTATTACAGTAGGCTACGTACACCTAACCTACCTGTGTCACATAACAGCGATCTTTCGGGTTCGGCTAAAATGGGCAATTTTTTGGAAGCTTGTTTGTAAAATAAAATTAAGGTAAAATGACAATAAATCCTTGGAAAATATATGATTCTCTGATGGTTAAAACTACAATATGTAACTTAAGGTAGCACCTGAAACTCCAGATCAATCCTGCTCCACCACACTGTCCAGCTCAGAAATTAAAAAGAATCAGAATGCAACAAAATCTTCAGATAAAGCAGAAACAATTGAAAATTTCTGATTGTTAGAGAGGTCAATCCTGCTCACAACCTATTAGAAGCTAATATCTCTTCACTTCTGCCAGTGTTGTTCAATGAGTGGGTCGCAGGAGGCTTTGACGGCACCTGTCCACGTTAACACAAGTTTTGGAGCTTATTTCTAAAACAACAGTATTTGAAAAAGTGACATAAAATGGGTCATAGTCCTGTAAAATGTGGCTGCAGGTCTTGTGAGCACAATCACTGTACATTTTAGAATGATTTTATCATTTTTAAATTTAGTATATATTCTTTATTTCACAGCAGTAAAATTTTTTGATTATTTTATAACACCACAAGAGACTTAAAGTCATAATGTGCTGCAGAGCTGTGTGGGGAATGTTGTATGTCCTGGTGACCTAACGTTAAAGAGCCCATGGCATGGTCATTTTCCTCTTTTGCAGCCATTTCATGTTTAATCTTGGGTACCTCTACATTAGCTTGGCGCCCTTCATAACTCCAAATAGTCTGTAATTGTTTCAGAATCAAAGAACCAAAGAACTTCCTTGAGAGGATAGTTTGTGAATGCGCAAGGTTCATTTTGCCGGTGTAGTGTCTCAACTGGACAGCACTAATTAATATGAAATTCCCCTCCATAGATCTTATCTTCCTATTCTGCACTATTTCATTCCATTTTGTCCCATTGCACTAGTATTTTACAAGCTTAATGTACTTTATCCATTACTTGTACTTTAAATCCATAAAGACTGTTTTATATTGTATATTACCTTATATAACTTACTGTAAATATCAATTGTACAAATCTATCACTAAATTAGTTCTGACTATACATACTGTAGATACTGCGCACTCTGCATGCTGTTATTGCACTTCTGGTTAGATGCTAAACTGTATTTTGTTGCCTTGTACTTGTACATGTGTAATGACAATAAAGTTGAATGTAATCTAAATAGATAGATAAACAAGGGTATATGTCCCTGTGTTTTATACAGGTGTGATGTGATGATGTGGCTTGTGTTTCAACACTGAACTTGTATGTGAAGTGTCACACCTAACCATATTTTCCATGAGAATATAGTGTTTTAAAAAGGCTCAAAAATCTTCAGGAAAGAATTGAACATAATGTGCACTAGCCTACATGATATTGTGTACAATAGTGTAGCCTTCCTACCTCTATGGACCAAATCAGGGTCTTTGCTATGAAGCTCTACTGGGTCACAGGCCCCCCGTTACTCAAATCACACGGTTATTTTTCTTGAATGTCATCTGCATGAATGAAATGTGCTATGTGAACTTCCCTTGCTCACTAGAAAAAGCCCACATTAAGAACATTCTCAACATGTTTTTTTGGCGTAAAGATCTGGCCCTGTGTTGCACATTTCTTTGCATTCTTCTGCATTTCAGGATAGTATAATTTGATTATCAAGCAGCCCCAGTTTGATTTGTCAAATTTAAACTTTCACAAATTAATCAACAAATCATCAATAAAAAACACTATCTAATCATTTTTATAATTCATAAAGCCACATATGGATGTTCCAACTACTTTAAACTTGTATTGTGCAGTGGATGGCTGGTGGTCACACAAATCTCCATAGACACAGACAACTTCCTCCACACTTTCCCTTCCTGCCTAAGGTTCGTTTGTTAAATGTGCATAAAATAAGCATTATTCGGACTGTGTGACAAGAGTATCGAATATTGTTATATTCATTAAATTCAGAATGAATATTCCAAAGATAGCATAGACCACTACATGTGATGTATTATATTATACAACATACTTGCCATTCATTTTATTTCATGTAGTTATGCCCTAGCCAACTAAACTAACACTCCTTTATTTTGCTTCACGCGCTAGTACATAGATTGCTGCAGTGCACCAGCTACGACGCGCACAGAGGTGCGCACCGTGGTGTACGAACCCTGACCGCTGTGCCCCTTGCTTTGACATTCTGGATTAGAACAAATCGATTATTTCCCCGTTATGATCGATTTAAATTAATCCACTCCCAAATATAGGAGCTTGTTAAAATTCCAACTTGTGATTTTACTAGGGCACAGCAGATCAATAATGGGGCACCAGTAAAATGGGTCTAACGCCACCTATGGACCAAACGATTACATGTAACACACACCCACACATGAAAGCTTAATAGCCCTCGTTAATAATGACCAAACCATCCCAGTGTTGCAGACCGTAAAATATTTTAGTATCTCTCATGATTTCTATCGCTTATTCAACACATACTAACGAAAGTTGAAATGCAGACATACGGCGAGCCTATGTCGTCACCTGAGAATTCTATACAAAATGAGGAAAAGCCTGTGGAAATAGTGCGACTAACTTATTTGAACAAGGCCAACGTTTTGGGGAACACGTCATTGGTTTGCTCGGTGGGCTGATCCAGCGTTGCGCTTCCGGTGGAGACGTGGCTCTGTATTGCTGCCATATTAATGCTAGGTAACAATCATATAACTAGAAGTCAGCTGTTTATCCTCATCTTACTATTCCAGAGTGACTAAAAATCCCCAAAGCAGAACACACGAGAGCCTGAAGATCATTGTACTACAGAGAGAGACCAAAAATGGTGAGTAATCATCGAAAGTGAACACATTTTGCTGCCTGTTATCGGGCCTAGCAATTATCATAACACTGGCTAACTCGATAAGCAGCTAATGCTAGATTTCAGTTAGCTAGCTTTTCCAAGCGAGAAAAGGGTGAAATACAAACGTTTGTTTTCGTTGGGTTGATTGTGTGAATGTTACATGTAGTTGCTAAAGTTAGGTAAAATAACTGTCGTTTCATTATACAGAGCCAAATCTCCGGTGGAGAGGCAGCACTAAGTGTGCAGACATTGCTGACGTTAACTGGCTTTACAAGCTAGCGCCAGGATTGGCTCCCGATAGAGCTAATGTTAACGTTAGCTCCTGTCATATTGTCCTTATCCGGACAAACTGGTTATTGTTCTTAAATTAACCAAGGTTGCGGTTAACCAGCTGCGACAGCTTCTGTTCTGGATTATCTGCATTAAGCACAGTTGCGACCTGTTCATATTATTGTCTATAAATTCAGATCCGTTGCAGTCCGGTTCTTTACGCTCCTACAGTAGCTTCAGCCATTGTAAACGTGGAATGAATGTAAGTCTTTGATTCATTTACCAAAGTGAAATCAAATGTCAAATATCAAGTTTTCCTACATTGAGATACATTTACAGTTTGTTGAGCTAATTCTGCAGTTATATAAATGTATTTTACCTGGTAGCGATGATGGATCTGGTGCGATGAGAATGTTTAACCAAGAGCCATTCAAAATGTTGGTGATTGAGAAGTGGTTTGGTTCTTGGCTGACATAGACACGTTGCACACACAACTTAAGGACTGTTGAATCGCTGCTTATCATTGTAACATTCGGGATGGATTTTTTTCCTCTGCTGCGGAAATATACCCAGTAAAATAACAGCTATTACATCGAGGCTGCCATCTGCTCTCATAGTCCTCACTAACAATAAACTAAACTTAGTAGGTGGCTGTAGTTTATAAAAATACTGTGTAGGTACTGCATTATGTGAAAGCCAGACTTGCAAGAAGACCCTCAAGATTTGAATGATGTCTATCTTGGTGAGGTTTTTTTCTCCTCAGGAAGATCCAATCATTCGTGGCATGTATCGTGATCTGAAGTTAACTGTCACCATTTTGTTTGTATTTGTAGTTCTAACTGTGAATGTGTGATCTGAACTGTGAATAGGTTATTACTAAAAGACTATAGGTATGTTAATATGGTAATGTTTTCTCTTCACCTGCAGGTGCTGTTGGCAGCGGCGGTGTGCACCAAGGCTGGCAAGGCCATAGTATCGCGGCAGTTTGTGGAAATGACACGGACACGTATTGAAGGTCTCCTTGCTGCATTCCCTAAACTGATGAACACAGGCAAGCAGCACACCTTTGTGGAAACAGACAGTGTTCGTTATGTGTACCAGCCACTGGAGAAGCTCTACATGGTCCTCATCACCACCAAGAACAGCAACATCCTGGAGGACCTAGAGACACTCAGACTCTTCTCCCGTGTGGTAAGCAATCACGGAACTAACCTGCTGTGTTGTGTATGTTTATACATTAAATGTCTATCAGTGAGAAATGTAACAGTGCCACATGGCAGTGTATATGCTAAAATGATGAAGAAATGACAACTGTTTTAAACAGGTAACTGCACGGACTGCAGATGAAAATGAGCTTTATGCTAACTCTGGTACAGTACATACAATATCTAATGCTTTACATTGCCCTTTACAAATAAATAAAATAAGTTTTTACAAGTTTTTATAGACAATTTACTATACAACATACTGAAGCAGACACCAGCACTGATGGCACGTACACATCCAGTAGTATCTACATTTGAAGCTTAAAAAGTCTAGCGTATTGTTGTGATTATTAAATGTACATTCAGTTGTCAGTTTATTAGGCACACCAAGCTAAAACTAAGTCAGTCTAATCCAACAGTGCTG